GAAGATAGAAGAGTTTGTTGAATCTGACGTGACATGTTCGTACGAACCCTTTGTACGAACAAAAGTAAGAGAAATTTAGGATAAGAATATGAACATGTTCTTGCATGAGGCTCATTGTTATCAGCTGATTTTGTAAACCCAGATTACACAATAATTTTTCTTACCAATCTGCAGAATCAAAAACCGAAACGTTCTCCGTTTCTTTAGTCAGGGATAAAACCAAATCAGGGCCTGGCTGAAAAGAACCTGCAACACATTTCAGTAAGACCATAAGGAAATTAGACCACTTTAATGTCACTCGTTTCAAATACTTTGAAATTTTCTCAAAAAGTATTTTCCCAAAAATCAAACTGTCCTTTGAGTTTAACATGCAGTATCTCTCCAAGAACGCTTCACTGGCCAGCAGATAAAATCAGCAATAGATAAAACACACAAAAAGCAACAACCCATCAGATAAATAAATTGAGATATCACATGAAGTCAACAACAAATCTAAAACATTACAAAGAGTCAGAAGCAGGTAATTTACAAACACATATCTGTGCAGGTAGGTATCTATGTAGAACATTTCTAAATTCATGGAGTTTGGATAGGTTGCTTTAGGTTTTGGTGATTTTGGAACTAATTTCAAGTGTTGTGGCAGCTTTTAATTTTTTCCCCATCTTTTCTCCTACTGTTGTGTAGATGTCTGTACTGTAAAAGCTGTTTTGGTCAAACTTTGTTAACAACCTATATTGCAAAGTGCTTGTAGGATGTGTTGGGAATGAAATGACTTTCAGCCATAATTACAGCAAATTTTAGCTCAGTATCAACAAAACACACTGAGCTACAGCCATTTGAAACTGGGGTCGATGACTTAATTAGTGGTAGACGTTGTCCAGATGAGTTCATGGCTCATGAAATGTTTTGCTAACAGACAGGGTTGGCACCAACAGTGTGCAGTGTGAATATTGCAGTGCTCTGAATTAGGCATGGGCCGAATACCGGTTTCAAGGTGATATGAAAAAGTCACGGTTTGAAAACCACCAAAATCTTCTGTCATACCGTGCCTACGGTGTGAGTGGTTTTTTGTTTAATTTTTCCTCGGGTCTGTTCAGCTGCAGACTTTCCCCCTCACACTCCTGCAGACTTCCTGTCGCACTCGCAGCTCTGCGGGGGTTGTGTGATGTTGGCTGAAGAACAGAGTTCCCCAAACTTTTCTCGTCTAAAATGATAAATGTGGACCGTGGAGGCAGCTAACATGATCGCAGCTCCAGGTAAAAGTTTATGCTATCTTGAAATGAACGAGCTAACGTTAGCATCAGATTGTGAAACATATCACCGTGTTGCTGTGGCTTAATGAGCCGATCACAACTTGTCTGCAAAACTGTTTGAGTTGTTGGATTGTGTATTTGATAAGTTTTAAGTGAAAGGTGATAAAAATGAACGCCTCCTTTAGCCGAGCAGCTCGTTAGCTGAACGTGCGTTTCATAAACACGCATTCGTAGTTGTTATTTCTTGTTTCTGTGTGAATATAATTATATAAAATTTATGTCAAAAACCTTTTTGAAATTTGAAACACAATAAAAACCTCCAACGAGATACATTACTTCAATGAAAAGCCTTGTGCAGTTTACACACTGCAAAAAATATCCATCTAACCAAGTTTTAAAATCTTATATCAGCCAAAGTCTTTTTGATCTTGTTTTGAGACTGATTTACTAAACAAGAACTGATTGTGTAAGAATAATAATCTTGTTTTCAGAATATGTAAGATTATTTGTCTTGTTAGTCTGAAAATTTGACTCAAATTAAGTCAAAAAATTTCTGCCAATGGAGTAAGAAAATTTTACTTGATAAGATTCTTGAAATAAGAAAAAATTGAGTCAAATCAAGTATTTTAAGAAACTCACCAAGTAAAATTTCTTACTCCAATGGCAGAAAATTTTGACTAAATTTGAGTCAAATTTTCAGACAAACAAGACAAATAATCTTACACATTCTGAAAACAAGATGATTATTCTTACACAATCAGTTCTTGTTTAGTAAATCAGTCTCAAAACAAGATCAAAAAGACTTTTTGGCTGGATATAAGGTTTTAAAACTTGGTAAGATGGACAGTTTTTGCAGTGCACTGATTTGTCTTAAATAATAAAGCAGTGGAAAAGCAGTTATCTTACTAAATGTAAACTTTATCAGGATAATCTAATTGCATTAGGTGCTAAAAATCACAAGTATAAATGCACACAGGTAAATACAATTTCAGCATAACACCTCTGAGATCTAAAAACAGCTTCCAAAGATAGTTAAAGCTGAATATAATAATAAAAAAGTTATTTTATTTATTTTTTAAATAAAGATTTCAAAACAAAACTTTTAAAGCTGTAATCTTAATACCGTCATACTGCGAAACTGTGATATTTTGGCCCAAGGTTATCATACCGTCATAATTTCATACCGTCCCTATTCTGAGTACTGTTATGGATGAGAATCCCAGCTACTAGCACACCTAAATCTAGCTCACCTGTAAAACTGACTGAATGACTTTGTTCTCATTTGTCAGATGGTTGCGTTGGCCATGAAAGTTAATCAGTTTTAGATCAGGGGTGGGCAATCCTGGTCCTGGAGGGCCGCAGCCCTGCATGTTTTTCTTGTTTCTCTGCTCCAACACACCTGGTATGAATATATGATTATCAGGCTTCTGCAGTATGGAGGACCGAAACTGACATAATTAGAAATAAAAGCAGAATTATATATATGAACCACTAAATAAATACATTTAAAATGCACCAATTAAAATAACAAAGGAGAACTTTATCTCATGTTTTTGTTTGAAATGACTTGAATATTTATTTTTCCAGGTTAGTATAAATTAGTTTATATATTTTAACATGTAATTTAAATTTTACTGTTTTTTAAAATACATATTTTTTTGTTTTTCCTTTCAATTCTACATGCATTTGTGTCTCTTAAATATTTATACTTAATTATTTTTATATTTTTCCCACAAGTCTTTAAATTTTAGTTTAAAACAAAGGCAAGGAGAAAAACTTACCCGTGCCTTTGTTTTTAACTAAACTTTAAACTTTAAGCTAAACTGAGGCAGCACACGCCTGCAACACATTGAAATAAAAAAGACTTGTGGGACAAAACTATAAAAATATTTCAATTTAAACATTTAAGAGACAAATGTATGTACAAGTAAAAAATATATATTTTAAAAAACAGTCAAATTTGAATTGTGTTAAAAAATATCAATTAAATGAGAATTAAATTACAAAACATGAGGTGAAGTTCTTTTTTAATTGAATTGGTGCATTTTAAGTGTATTTATTTACTTAGTGGTTCATTTATATATTTCTGCTTTTATTTATAATTAAGTCAGTGTCGGTCCTCCATACAGCAGAACTTGGAAGGTAAATCAGTGTCTGAATCAGGTGTGTTGGAGCAGGAAAAACATAAAACATAGGGCTGCGGCCCTCGAGGACCAGGATTGCCCACCCCTGGTTTTAGATGCACTTCTTATAATTACTTTCTGAAAATCTGATTAATTTCCAACCGTGGTTTTTTGCTAACAGAGAAACAAACTAACTTGTAACTTCAAGATATTGTCAAAAAAAATAAAAGAATTCTTAAGCATGGCCTGGAGCTCTGTCTGATTTTTGAGGTCCAACATAAACACTGAGCTAGCTCACAGAGAAAAAATAAAAACAGAGAATTCACAAGCATCATAATCTCACCCTGCGTGTGGCGGTTCTGTCGGATCCTCAGAGTGCCGAGCAGCGTGTTTCCTGTTTCTCTCAGAAGAACAGAGTCGTCATACAGCCGTGGCAGCAGAGAACCGTTCAGCCACACCAACACGTCGTCACGGCTTAAAGACAAAGAAATCAGTCACACACACTGATATTAAACTAAATGTTAAATCTGATATGAGTCAAAAACTCAGTTAGTTTATAACAATCCACTTCTCTTTTGGTCTGAATAAAATTACTTAAGGTCAGACATGAACTCAATCAGAGTAAAAAAAACTTCATACTTTTCATTTTGTGGCAGAGCAAATAATTCATCCTTCAAAGATCAGTCAGTAACGCTTTAAAAAGTATTTTTATTATGTATTTATCAGTGTTGGTACCTGCTGACAGTCTGATACTCCGGTGTGAGAAGGGTCTGCTGTAGCTGAGTCCTCAGTCTCAAACTGTGCGTGTCTTTGTTAGAGTCTGAGTAGTTGAGCAGCAGGACCACCAGCAGGAAGAACGTGTAAACCAGGAAATTCTGGAAAAAGACAAACCACATTCCTGTCATTCGAACCGACAAGCTGAGTTTTACCGTCCTCTCTCTGTGTCGGCGTTCCTCGCTGACCTTCAGCATGCTGTGCAGCATGTGCACCTTGCGGGCCTGCTGCCGGGCCCGAGACAGAGCGAAGCCCTGAGGTGGTCTCACCCTGGTGACCCGCTGGACCACCTGCTCCACTCGAGAGCCTTCCACCAGCATGTCCTGGGCCTCCGGACGCAGCCGACGCACACACACAGCAAAGTAGAGCGCCTCACACATCACCTGAAGACAGTGGGAGGAAAAAAAAACATTTTCAGGTGTTTGACCCAAACGGATTCTCTGATTCAGACTCAAAAGCTGCGAGAAAGTGATTTTATCAAACTACTATCAACAAATTGTGTGTGCACCATCTCCCTGATAGTGCACACACAATTTGGTTCAGATCAGACCATGTTTGTGTGATTTAGAGCGAACCGTGTGCAAACATTGAGGCATCAGCATTCTCCACTCTGCCACACCCACACCATCCCACCACCAATCAGTGTTGAGAGAAGCGTGCAGCATGTGAAGTCTGCATGTTCAAAGCTGTAGGGGGAGTTAGCTCAGATGGGCAAAATAAAAAAAAAGACAAATTGGCAGCTTTGATCCAAATAGGCTGACTTCCTCTGGGGTTTGGACCATGACTCGTGATTTTTTTTTTTGTAGGTCCTGAGACGTTACACGTGTGTACCAAGTTTCATGATTGTAGGTCAAAACATGGCTTGGGGCTTATTTTTTAAATATTTGTAGTGTGCGCTTTGAAGGTATTAGGCCACGCCCCACAAAAATTGTACTTCACACCTGTAGTGGGGTGGATTAGGATTAACCATAGTGAATTGGGTGCAGATTGGCTGAAATATGTGGAAGGTAGCGCCAACTGTATGTCAGTGGAGTGATGTCTGACTTCACCGCACCGACTACACCTGTCGCCAAAAACTCTTTGTGGTTGAAAGCGAGATCAGTCCTATCTGTGTTCTGACACAGTTTGTTCCTGATTAGATCAAGAGGGCCAGAGAGGGAGCTTACCAAACCAAAAAAGGTCACTTCCTGTTGTTAGGGGGCGGGGCTTTGATGATGTCAGTGTAGGACTACATGGTATGGTCAGGCATGCATCATGGATGATTCATCCCTTAGCAAAAGGTAGTATACAGTATATACAGGCCCTTCTCAAAAAATTAGCATATTGTGGTAAAGTTCATTATTTTCTGTAATGTACTTATAAACATTAAACTTTCATATATTTTAGATTCATTGCACACCAACTGAAGTAGTTCAAGCCTTTTATTGTTTTAATATTGATGATTTTGGCAAAAAAGTAAAGAAAAATCAAAAATCCCCTATCTCAAAAAATTATCATATCATGAAAAGGTTCTCTAAATGACTTATTAACCTAATCATCTGAATCAACAAATTAACTCTAAACACTTGCAAAATATTCCTGAGGCTTTTAAAAACTCCCAGCCTGGTTCATTACTCAAAACCACAATCGTGGGTCAGACTTCTGACCTGACTGCTGTCCAGAAGGCCATCACTGACACCCTCAAACAAGAGGGTAAGACACAGAAAGACATTTCTGAACMAATAGGCTGTTCCCAGAGTGCTGTATCAAGGCACCTCAGTGGGAAGTCTGTGGGAGGAAAAAGTGTTGCAGAAAACACTGCACAATGAGAAGAGGTGACCGGACCCTGAGGAAGATTGTGGAGAAGGACCAATTCCAGACCTTGGGGGACCTGCAGAAGCAGTGGACTGAGTCTGGAGTACAAACTTCCAGAGCCACCGTGCACAGGTGTGCAGGAAATGGGCTACAGGTGCCTCATTCCCCAGGTCAAGCCACTTTTGGACCAGAAACAGCAGCAGAAGCGCCTGACCTGGGCTACAGAGAAGCAGCACTGGACTGTTGCTCAGTGGTCCAAAGTACTTTTTTTCGGATGAAAGCAAATTTTGCATTTCATTCAGAAATCAAGGATCCAGAGTCTGGAGGAAGACTGGGGAGAAGGAAATGCTAAAATGCCTGAAGTCCAGTGTCAAATACCCACAGTCAGTGATGGTCTGGGGTGCCATGTCAGCTGCTGGTGTTGGTCCACTGTGTTTTATCAAGGCCAGGGTCAATGTAGCTGTCAGGAGATTTTGGAGCACTTCATGCTTCCATCTGCTGAAAAGCTTTACGGAGATGAAGATTTCATTTTTCAGCACGACCTGGCACCTGCTCACAGTGCCAAAACCACTGGTAAATGGTTTACTGACCATGGTATTACTGGGTTCAACTGGCCTGCCAACTCTCCTGACCTGAACCCCAGAGAGAATCTGTGGGACATTATGAAGAGAAAGTTGAGAGACACAAGACCCAAAACTCTGGATGAGCTTAAGACACAAGACCCAACACTCTGGATGAGCTTAAGACACAAGACCCAAAACTCTGGATGAGCTTAAGACACAAGACCCAACACTTTGGGTGAGCTTAAGACACAAGACCCAACACTCTGGATGAGCTTAAGACACAAGACCCAACACTCTGGATGAGCTTAAGACACAAGACCCAAAAACTCTGGATGAGCTTAAGACACAAGACCCAACAATCTGGATGAGCTAAAGACACAAGACCCAAAAACTCTGGATGAGCTTAAGACACAAGACCCAAAAACTCTGGATGAGCTTAAGACACAAGACCCAACACTCTGGATGAGCTT